GCGTTTGGGATGTGTGGTGTACATCGGCAATTTGGTGAGTTTTAGTCACACGTGGAAGGAACATTTGTAGCATCTATTGGAATTGTTCAATTGACTTGGTGAGGCGGGCTTTGTGATAAACCTGGTAGACAGCGAGTTTGCAAAACCCCAAGTCACATTCCTGGACTTGGAAAATGGCCCCACACGATATGAAAACAGAAGTTATTGGGGAGTATGATTCCTGGGGCGAGTTTTTTTTTTAAATTGGAAGTTGGTACGAATTTTAGCAGAGTGATTATTCCGTTGACTGACTTGTTGAACAAGTGCAGAAAATTTCAGTAGATAGAGGAACATCAGAAGGTATTTGACAGCCTGAAAGCTGTGTTAACCACTGCCCCAGTGTTAGCCACAAATAATTACACAAAGCCATTCAATGTGGCTATCGATGCAAGTGATTTGGGTGTCGGTGCTGCACTCTTGCAAGAAGACATAACAATAGAAAGACCTATTGGGTATCTTTCCATAAAGCTGAATAGTCACCGACGGGAATATTCCACAATTGTGGAGGCAACCTTGAGTTTTGTATTGGCTTTGCAACATTTCATCATTTATATCATCAATAAAGTGTCTGAGACAATTATATTTACATTGATCGTAGCCCCTTAAGGCTTTTGTGAAAATTTAAGGATAAAAATACCAGACTGTTCAGATGGAGCTTATTATTGCAGCCACTCAATTTGAAAATTATACAAGTGACAGGATGAAAGGAGGTAGTGGATGAACAAAGACGGAGGCATTCAGCGACAGGGAAAAACAAAATTGGACTAAAATAGACTAGTAGTGGATGTTTGCATGCGTAGAGTCAATGTAATGTATATGTATTGTAGTGTACTAATAGTGTAAGAATAAAGACTTTTAAAAAAAATGAAGCTGTTTTTGTATATTGATGGCTCTTCTTTTTGAAATGGGGGGAGGTGCGACAATATTATGGCTTTAAGAGGTGTACTTTGTCCCAGGTGTTTTAATGAAGAATGGTTGTGCCAGAATTACTGAGCGGTTTGCTCAAAGCCAATAAAGTAAACAGTTTGTGAGCCCTTGGGGTCTTTCAAAAAACAAGTTGGAACAGTAGAAACAGCCCGAATGGGTTGAGTCAAGCTTCCACTGAAGCAGGATTTTTAGTTTTAGTTTTCTGCAGTTGTTTGGGTCTCAAGGCTGGATGTGGAAGTTCTTATTCCCCTCTCTGTTACAGCTAAAAGTTCCCTTCCTGCTGCTAGAATTGCATGTAAGACAATCTACTTTATTGACTTTGCCGTTGCCAAGGGGGTGTTTATGGGATGTTACAATACTGAACTGTTAATTACTTATTATTTTATTAAGCATTTCAATAGTTACAATTAGGCAAATTCATTTATTTTTATTTTGTCAGTATTTTTAACTGTAGTCTAAAAATAAAGTGTCTTTTACTGAAAGTCAAGTAATTTGACCAAGTGAATTGCGTCTGGAATGCAACACCTTACACGTACTTTTAAAATAAGAAAAATTTTGAGTCTAAGTTATCTTCTTCCAAAGATGTGCAGGTTAGGAGGATTAGCCATGCTAAGTTGCTCAGTGTCCAGGGATGTGCAGGCTAGGTGGATTAGCCATGGGAAATGCAGGGTTACAAGAATATGGTAGATGGGCAGATCTGGGTTGGACTCGAACGGCCAAATGGCCTGCTTCCATGCTGTAAAGATTCCACAATTCTATGATTCTTAATATGTATTTGAGGGGGTTTGGTTTGGTACATAATAATTTGCATATGGGAAAGCTTCTTCTGGCACAGTGGTAATTTCCTTACCTTTGAGCCAGGAGGCCTGGAATTAAGTCCCACCTGCTCCAGAGATGTGTAACAACATCACTGAACAGGCTGGTTACAGAATTTCTGGGTGTTGGGATCAATTGGAATATTTCCAAATTTGCTGTTAATTTAAAATGGGTGGAGTACAAATTGGATGATGGATTGAGACTTCAAGCGAACCGGGACAAGCTGGGGTGAACGGGTATGTACGTGACAGATCGGATATAATGAAAACATGTGAAGCTATTGGTAGAAAAACAACTTCAGAGTATTGTTTAAATGGCAAGAGGTTGGGAAGTACTGGTGCCCAGAGGGACTTGGGTGTCCTTGACCATAAGTCACTAATGGTTTGCATGCAGATACAACAAACAATAGAGAAGGCAAATGAAATATTTTATTGTGACAAAATTTGAGCACAAAAGTAAAGATGGCCCGCTGCAATTGTATAGATCCTGGTGAGACCACACACGGTGTGTTGCATACAATCTTGGTCTCCTTATGTAAAAGAGGAAAGATTACATGCCATAAAGGGAGTTCACTAGACTAATACCTGAGATGACAGGATTGTCCATTTCGGAGAGATTTAGGGCTTAGGTTTGTATTCCCTACAGTATCAAATAACGAGAGGTGAAACTTACAAAATTCTCACATGGCATAACAGGACGGATACAGGTAGGATGGTTCGCCTAAAACTAGCGTTCATCATCTCAGAATAAGGCTTTGATCATTTAAGACCAAGCTGAGGAGGATATTCTTCACTTTGAGGGTGGTCATCCTTTGGAACTCTTAATTCCCAAAGGGCTGTGAAAGTTCAATCGTTGAACATGTTAATGATAGAAATTGATAGATTTCTGAATTGCAATGACATCTAAGGGAGATGGACCTTGTGCAGGAAAGTGGCTTTGAGGCAGATGGATTAGCCATGATCCAAATGAATGAGACATCAGGCCCAAAAGGCTGAATGTCATACTTACCTTCCTCTCGTAACTGGGTACAAGAGGCCTAGCAGTGAAAGTGACCACTTACTCAGAATTAAATAACTACATCTACTACAGAGGATATCATCTGTGGAACTCTGGTCACTTTTATTTATTACCAATTTGTTGCAAAATCAAAATCCCTACCGTCAACACATCACTTGGACATTTGTGATATACAAGGTGTAGAGCTGGATGAACACAGCAGGCCAAGCAGCATCAGAGGAGCAGGAAGGCTGACGTTTCGGGCCTAGAAAGG